ATATATATATTTATATACATACATATCACTCCACCTACAGCCTGCAGAACACCCAAACTTTTCAAGTGTGCACATGGAACATTATCCAACACAGACAACGTTGTAAGCAGAATTTTAAGATGACTCCTAATGATCCTTGCCCTTGTGTAATTTCCTCCCAGAATTTGGGTGAAACCTGTGAATATCATGAAATATCCCTCCCAGTATTACGCTATGTCATATGGCAAAGGGACTTTCAAAGATACAGTTATGGTTACCAGTAAGTTGACTTTGGTTTAACGAAAGGAGATTATCTGGGCAGCCTGATTTAATCACAGGAGCCCTTTAAATCTGAGTCTAGAGGTCAGAGACAGAGGAACTCAAGAGAAGCAGCAGAGACATTCTCCTACTGGCCACAAAGGGTCAGTTGCCATCTTATAGACAAGACTATGCAACAGGAAAAAGTGGATGGCCTCTAAGAGGCTCCCAATTGACAGACAACAAGAAATTTGAAATTAATTCTCAGAGTTGCAAGGCACTGAATCCTGCAAATACCCTGAATGAGCTGGAAAGAGGACCCATGCCCGAGATGATACTGCAGCCCTGGCCAATACTTGATTTCAGCCATGTGAGATCATGAGCAGAGAACCCATTCACTCCAGAACCAAGGAAACTGTGAGATAATAAATTTGGATTGTATTAAGCCTCTAAGTAGATAATTTATTTGTTATATAGCAATAGAAAACTAATACGGATACTATGCTAGGTCTTAATACAAGACAGATCCAATCAATTTAAAAAGATTTTAAGTAATATCAAGTATATTATATGAACAAAACAGAATTACATTAGAAATCAATAGCAGAAATAAATTTGGGAAATTCCCAAATAAATGGAAGTTAAAAATCACTCACATATCAATTAACCATGGATAAAAAAATATCACAAGGGAAATTACAAAATATTTTGAACTGAATGAAGAAGAAATATAACGTACACAAATTTATGGGATATAGCCAAAGTAGGACTTCTGGTCTCAAATCAGTAACCTAAGTAAGCACCCTCCTTAAAAAAGTAGAAAAAGAAGAGTGAACTAAATCTAAAGTAAGCAAAAATATGGAAATAATTTGGATTA